GGACGATAACGCGTTCGTAATACTCGCGCGCAGCTTGAAAGCCCTCTTCAGAAAAAAGATTGCGACCGGGCTGGTCAGCGGGACCATCGGAATCATCACCATCTTGCAGAACAACAGAATCGGTGGGCTTTGAACGGCCGTGGAGAAGAACTTCTGCGCCGATGCCCCATCGCCCATGATTTCGAATGTCCATAATTGTGCCAGCATGCTCAGCTCTGAGCAGCATGCCCCAAGCGCGACCCGCGCGCTGGTAGTCGCCTTTGAGCAAGCAGTGATGCATGACTGTGGTCAAAACGCTCAAGTGGTGGCGCTTGAAGCTCGAGGTTCTTTGGTCAAGGTCCTGGGTTACACTGGCAGTTTTGGAGAGACCAGGGGCGTAGATGGGAGGCTTGAGGTCGGCAAGCTTTTGCTGGATCTCAGACGACCTGAGTTTCGGCACGGTGACCTTTGTTGGAGCATGTGGAAAAGGGTCCGGGGGCAGGTCGTCGTCGGGATCATGGCCGGCGGTACGAAATTGGCGGGCATCTGCGGCTGAAAGGGTCGAGATGGCGGGAGTGGCTCTGGTGGAAGATTCTGGGCTGCGGTCACGGCCTTTGTCGGAATCTTGATTGTCGTCTTCGTTGTCGTCGTCGTCTGGACGCTTTCGCTTGCGCGGCGCGGCGTGTCTGCGAGCGCGCAGGCTTTGTGTGGGTTTGATGGGCTGGGCAAAATAGGGAGCCATGGCGGAGGAAGAAGACACTGGAGGTGGCTGGCGATGTCGGATGGAGACTCAAAGTAGCGGTGCGGAGGTGCAGTTTGAGTAGTTGGCCTGAAGCAGGGGTGCAATCGTCATGCGCTAGTCAGCAACCAACTGTTGGCCAGCGCCATCACCGCCGCGTCGCGGCCTCGTTGACCACCACCAACATCCACAACACCTCGTCCCAACCCAACCCAACCAAAACACCTCCCTCCCTTCCCGTTCGCTCCCTACTCCGACGCCTGCCAGTCCTCGCCGCTCACTGGACTGGTCCAACGACTGTACTCCTTCATCATGGGCCAGAGCAGCTCGCGAGGCGCTGCCCAGCCCTCCGGCTCCTCGCCCTCATCACAACGCTCCTCTCCATCTCGCCGTCGCGATGCGCCCTCACCTTCGGAATCGCAACCTTCCTCTCGCTCCTCCCGCCGAAGCCTCAATTTCTTGCCCCGCCTCCACTCGGATCGTTCAGATGCCAGCTCCACTGGGCCTGCCAACGGCCCAGGTCTCCTCCGCCACCGTCACAGGTTGAGCCGCGCTCACTCGTCCATATCCAGCATACTCTCTCGCTCTGGATCCACCTCACGCTCTCGCGATCGACCCGAAAGGAGTAGCTCAAGATTTTCTATTCCCGTTTGGAGCACAACTTCTCCGCACCATGTCGACGAGGCCCCCAGCGAGCCTGCTCCCAGGCTACATCCGCCGGAACTGGGATCATTAGATTTCGATGACTTTACCGAAGCCTTTGAGGCCGAGTCGCTAGCTACTCCCCCAGCTCCAGAGCGGGAAGACAACAATGAGACGCCGAGCAGCTGGCAGAGACCAACCAGTCTCCTTGATCGCGTGGCTGGCACCGTGGTTCCCGAGAGGACCGGTGGAAGAGTCAGGAACTCTTTGAGACGTCGACGATCTCCTCTTCGCAGCGGCGAGGACAACGCCGCCATGCTCTCCCGTCTATTGTCCGTCGCTGCGGCTGCTACGGCGGCCACGCTCATGGGGGATGACCACAGGGCTGGTGCAGAGGCCCGCAACTTTGTTGGCGGCGATGAGGACGGGACTTTTGACGGCTTCTTACAATCCTTGCAGAACGGCCGAATCGCTTCTGCACTGAGGGGAAGCGCCGCTGCTATCGGTGAGGAATCGGACACTCCAGGTTCCCCGGCTCCGTTGAATTTCTTCCGCATGTTCAGATTTGGCAACACTAGGAGAGAAAATGCTTCGACCAGATCCTCTGATAGCCAGGATGGTTCCGGAGAATCATCGGAAGCGCAAAGCGCAGGCGAAGAAGGGGGTGAGGGTCGAATGGTACCGATCATCATCGTCGGCATCCGATCCATCACACCCAACACAGGAGGCGGCGCCCAGCACGATGACAACATACCACCATTCTTGGATGCTCTGTCTAGCTTTCCTGCGCCAATAACATCTGGAACCGAGCCAAGCATTGACGGTATTCTACGCCAGCCTCAGAATGGGACCAGGTTCAGTCACAGACGTCGGGCCTCGATGGGTGGCATCAACACTTTCCCAGGCTCGTATGACAACCAGCGGCATCAGCGTACGACAGAACGTCCGCGGCCTTTTTCAAGCCTTGATACACCCCCCGGACCGCGACCACCCCCTTCGACCCCCTCTGGCTTATCTGCCTTTTCATCAGGAGAGTCGACACCTTCCTTCACTCCTTTGTCAGACACTCCGGCAGGTCAATCTACGGAATCCTCGCGCCGTGAAAGTCTCGCGCGGTCCACAGCCGCTGCTGGATCTGGGCTTGACCCGCCCACAGAGCAGAGGAGTTTCCCTCCATTCCGGACGGCCAGACACCGCCGCCTGAGCGAGTCTGATCACACTAGGTTTGGCGCTGGATCATCAAGGCGCAATGGCGTTGTCGAACCAGACCACGCTCCCGGCGAAGGCCCGCGGAGCTGGATCATCTATGTTCTCGGAGGCAGCTATCCGGAAAACCACCCAATTCTCACTACGCCAAGTCTCTTCACGGATGCTCCCACCTACGAGGACATGATGCTCCTATCTACGCTTCTCGGACCCGCAAAACCCCCTGTCGCCAGCGATTCCGACGTCGCATCTGCAGGTGGAATTTACACCATCCGCGAGGTCCCATCCACTTCCGAGGGCGAAGCTGAGGGATTGGTCGCATCATCCGGCGATGGGGAGGAGTTGATCACCATAGCGGCTGACCAGCGATGCCTTGTCTGCTTAAGCGAGTACGAGGTGGGAGAAGAAGCACGGAAGTTGGTCCAGTGCGGACATCTCTTCCATCGGGAATGTATTGATCAGGTAGGTACCCTCATTCCTCGGGCTTGTTGCAGATTGCTAACCTTTCAAAAGTGGCTCACGACCGGGCGCAATTCATGTCCTCTCTGCAGAGGTCAAGGTGTTGAGGAGCACGAAAAGCGGAGTAACCCGCCTGCGTCTCCGAGTACCGAGACATCGACTGCGCCAACGCCTGCTACAGCTTAGCTGGTTGCGCATGCAACGGCTTTGCCCTTGTGTCTCCATCCTCGCCCAGCGGATTTTCGCGCCAGAGGATGAGCCACTTCGACGAAATCCCTTGCACATTCCTGATCGCTGGCCTCGGACAGCACTGTGCTCTCTTTGCTCATCAGCTCTGTACAGGTGGAAAAGCTTCCCGGCTCACCAATTGCAGGCTCGTCATGCATATAGCACGCGCTTTCGAAACATCGCAACTAGCGACTCGTTGGTTTCTATCTGACATCACCCATGGGTTCACTTTGCGTTTCCATATTCACAACTCTCGGATACAGGACAATTGTCCTTTCTCATGTGCGTTGTTCAAAGCCCAAGTTTATTTTTCATTTCGGGTGGATGCTTCTGATGGTAAATGTGTTTTTCACTCAAAGCGACAAGTCGGACATAATGAGTCTTGTTTTCTTCGTTCACACTTGAGGTCTATCTGGGCAGGACTGGGGAGGAGCGAAACGGCGTTTTATAGGGATTTTCCTGGGATCGATGATTTGAGAGCTCCTTTCAAGCTATCACGAAAGACGAAGTCGCAGCTTGAGGAGGATGGAATTTTGGGCGGCGACTGGGAGGAATACATGATCACGGCCTGCTTCATTTCTTTCTTTTTCGTCATGTTTTCCATCATATCGTTGCACCTTTTGGGGGAAAGACGTCGAGCTTTCCCCCCTCTCTCCTCCCTCATAGCGGCAAAGCGATGGATGATGTCTGGGCTCGGTTCTTCCGCCGCTGCCTGTGTTTTTCTCCATTTTCCCTTCACATACAAACCTTCCCATGCGTGATGAACACATTGCTTGTCCCTCTTATGAACACATTTGCCCCCTTTTCTACAATACTCATGGCGATTGCGGACGGAAGCGCTGTTTTTCGATTTCTAGTCCTTTCCAGCCCTGCGTTTTCTCTTCAAACTTGCCGCAGCTCAAACGACATCATACGAAGACAACGGTCGCAATCTCTGTTTTACAAATCAGCGAGTGTTGCCTTTTAACCCCTTCATCAATTTGTCAATCTGCATTCAGCTCCATGCCTCCACAGCAAACAGCACGCGAAACAGCTTATTTCTACCAAGCACGTCGAGTCTGTGTGCAGCAATACCCCTTTTGCCGCCTGCAGACTCAATGTCCCCCCTCACCGCCTTTTTGGTACTTTAGTAAAGCTATACCACACCCGCTCTATGGTTTGTACCTGCTTTGCAAGCAGAGATAGAATAATATGATGGCTTGAAGTTCTGGTTTCAAAGACGTGTTCGCGTGCGTGTGGTTCGTACTCGTACGTAACACAGAGTATGGGAAGGGAAAGCTTTTGTCGAGGGACAGAGGTATTCGTCGTATCACTGGCGGCGCATGAACATGCTTGAGCTTACGAGTTTGCTGCTTTCAAAAGAGGCAGTTGAAACCCGTCTTCATTTCCAGGATCTCGAGACCTCTACGCTGGGATTTTGACTCTTTTGACTTGGCCGACGACTATAAAGATTGGTTTCCCTGGCCTGAGATCTAGGACGCATTTGACCTCTCCTCCACTAATTCATGCGTACGTTCCATACTCCTTCCAACGCAGCCTCCCTTAGCTGCGCGAAAAAGGAAGGAGAGCCAGAAGTCAGTCGAAAATCCTTCACCACTCTTTCGCCTCCTGAAAGGACAACCAACAAATAGCTTGCGCAATTTTGGTCAGCCAAGCAGCAAATGCCCACACAGTCTTTTATTCCCTACATATATCCGCGCGACCGGTACCACAGCACACAGCGAGCAAGAAAGCAAACGTTTATGAAGGGTTGGTGGTGTAGTGGTAACATGTGCCGCGGCGACGGTCTTTTCCGCGGTGAGACCCAGGTTCGATTCCTGGCTGACCTGCTGCTTAACGTTTTGCGTCCTGTCTTTTTGCGCAATGACTGGAGTGTTGGGAAGTGTGGTAGCGAAAGCACGGATGAGGGATTTATGGCTGATATTTGGTGAGCCAGTGGATATGAGGCCAGAGGGGGAGAATTGTGCAGGCGGAAATGATGGAGCTGTGGGAGTGGGAGTGGAGGCGAAAGTTGGAGTTGTGGGATGAAGGTGCACGCTTGTGTTTTAGAGAATTGTGCTGCCTTTTATGTGTGTGCAGCCAGCCTTGCCTTGAAGATGGACCAGATTCCTCACAGCTAACCATCCTTTCTCCTCGTTTCTTTTCTCCACAAAATCTGCCTTCTGATATTCATACAAGTCCGTTGAAGCGAATCCTTTATGGGCGGTTCGAATGTTCGAACGAGGGAACGAGGGGGACCGGCGCCATGTCGACGATGTCCCTGGAGTCTTGACAACGGCCGTGCGTAGTGTTGGAGCTTACCAGCAGCTGGCATGCGCCTTGCTCAAACCCCCTTTTGGCGTAATACAATTTTTTGACTCCTTGTCGGCTTCAAACTGCGACCTGCCGTGCCCTGTGCGCGACTACAACGACTCGGCCGTCATCCTGAAGTCTAATTTCTTTTCGCCGCTGTCTTGGGTGAATAGACACTGTTCCTCCACCAAATCATTATCTGTTGTGGTGATTTGTAAACACATTTCTGTGTAAGAGCAGTAGGCCACCACGAGCTTTCAAGCTCTCTTGCTGCTTTGTGGATGCCGCGGTGCGTTAAGTCCATCATCCTGGCGACTTGGTCTGAGTGTTGGCAGCATACGCTCGGCTCATCTTGCATTTTCTCTTCGCCGAGCGGGACTCTGGTCCATATGGAGAACCTTCGAGCCAATTGCAGTTGACGTGTCGAGGTCTGGTTGTGGGCGGCTCGCGGGGAGTGGAGAGGGAAGTGACGACGTCGCCGTAGGCCACGAGGACCAGGCGCGAGTGGCGTTGTGGTCATCCGTCGAGTCCCGACCAAGTCGAGAGCAGAAGGGACATTAGCCCTCGTCTACTCCAGTTTACCGGGGCAGTGTTTTCGCTCATTTCCAATCTTTGAAATGCCGGCAGTATCCGCTCTAGCTGTAGCCCACCTCGTCACTCTTGAGTCACTGTTCTCCAAAACGCGCTGCCTTCTGTGTGGGCCAATCAGTGAGGGGGGAAGTGTTGACGACGGTGTCAACCACCGAGGCTGCCTGCGGAAGCGTGATGACCTTCACACCGAAGCGGCCGTGAAGCTCTCGGCTCTCCTCGTCTCTCTTGGATCTCTTTCCTCTTCTTTCAAAGCATCTCTGAAGCCGACCGCCTGTGTCCGGTGTTCTTTGTCTTGATTGCACGCTTCTCCAATGAAGAGGCGAGGTGGTGGATACGGCTCTTGATTCCAAGATGGCCTCTTGCGGAAGTGTTGCAGCTTTCACTCGTTGCAGCTGCGGAGCACTCCGCTCATTGTGCCTCTCTCTTGAGTCTCTTTCCTCTCCAGCTCATCTCCAAGGCCAACAGCTCACCTCATCTCCCTTCCATGTCTTTCCTCTTCGGTCCATCTTCGAAGCTAGCCTCTCATAATCACTGCGGCAAGTCTTTGTACTGGAATTCTCGAAAGAAGAGCGTTGAAGGGTTGACGACCTGACGGTCTCAGGGGTTTGGCAATGGGTTGCTTGGTTTTGTCTCGTAGTGGGCGAGTGGCGACGATCAGAATGCCGATTGAAGAGAAAGGCCTGCAACGTAGAATGGTTTTTGAAAGCTCGAAATCAGAGCAGAGGGTCGACGTTTCAATGTTGGGCGCTGGTTGTGGGGTGGACGAAATTATGAGGAGTTTCCGGCTTGCTGCTATGGCAGTACTTGATGCTTGTAAGTTTGTTCGCAGGTACTGGATGGAAGGAGCGGCGCGGTGCTTACGTACTGCTCGTGCGACTGATACTACGGACAACTGGAATAAGTCTGTTGTCATGGTCTTTTGAACTTTTCATACCGAAGCTCAATTGTCTCGTTCGGGGTTTCCCTTCACGTCATAGCTCGAAGAGAAGAGATGCGTGCAGACACAGTAAATGTCCATTGTTCGTGTATTTGCCAGATTCTTCAGTCCTACAGAATGCTGACTTTGCAATCAGGACTCCAGGCAAAGTTTAATAGAACGGCCAAAGCCGCCTTGGACTCAAGATTGAGTTCGATTTCACAGCCGCATTGTTTTCGTCCTTGCAGCCAATCACATAATCATGGCACGTCCATTGGTCTCAGATCTTCAAGATGCTTTTTATGATTCCGTAAACTCGCTCAGCTAATTGTTGGTCGTATTCGGACAGGAAGGGGCATCCATGTTTACAGGTTGATATGTCAGCCCGTTGCTCCCGCCATGGCGTCATCAAATGCCTGTAATCCATTCTCGCATCGCATACGTCTTTCCGAGGACCTACCTTCCGAATTTGGCACCGAGTTTGCACTCAACTGTACACCGCAATGTCCAGCGAAATGTGTGTAGGAGAAGTGCAATAACGGACGTGCCTCCGCTGGGCCTAGCGTGCGGTCCCTGAGTTTCAGGTTTTCGACCGCATCTCTCTTGGAGCATTCCGCGAAACCGTCTTTCGCACTCTTGACCTTCACCTACCTGTTCATGTTGTTCTCCGCGCGGAGCTCTATCGCCCGGAGCCCTTGGCGCGTTTCCGCCGTAGTCAACTAGTCCCTTTCGTTGCCTAGACTACCGGCTAAATGGGCTCCCGATATTTTTGTCTTCTGTTCTTGTTGTTCCTCGGACCCGGCTCCTCCCTTTCCCGTAACTATGATTCTGGCTGACGTCCCAAGACCACCGAATGGTCTGGGCCGGCGGGAGACGCTAGATAGGGCGGGAGCGGAGAGGTCGGGGGAGCGGCGGAAAGGCGGACACTCGATTTGCTCTACAGCGGCGGCTTGCGGTCTGGGATAAGGCTGTGGCGGCTGATTAGTTGTGTGCTTCATTTCATAGCGGCGGGCTTGCTTAGCCTCTCTCGGGCGGTCGGCGAGAACACACCGAAATGCCCAGGAAGGTACTCGCGATGAAATCACGAAAGGAAAAGCGGTTGCGAAGAGCAAGGAAATTTGGGATATACAACAGACTGGCAGAGAATCTGTGTGGAGCTGTGTGGCGAGGATGATGAGAGTGAGAGAGATGCTGCTGGCAGAAAAGGCCTACCTGGTCAAGGTTCAGGATGAGAGAGCTGGTCGGAACTATCAATATTGAAAGATAATGCGCTTACAGGTTCCACAAGCGCGGCGCGATCGTAGATACGAATACACAAACGAAAAAGGAGATGAAGAGGAGGAGAATCAATGGAGTGGTGGATTGCAGAGCGGATGATTTCCCACTTTGAGCATTACATCAGCGCGTCACATCCGCAATATCGCTGGACCCGCAAAGCGCAAGCCACCACACAGCACACACCCTTACGGACTACAAGAGACGGCATCCCTCCCTCTTCGACCCTCCTATCTCCTCCGGCGAGAACAGCGCGGAAAAAACATCACCCTTAAAACGAGGCACCGCGCCGCTTGCGCAACCACGAAGCTTCAGGCGCACAGCGAGTTCCCACAAACCATCCAAGTCTACGGACGTATCGTTGACGATGCTGACCACGACTCACGTTGTCACTACTCACTCTTTCTCACTTTGAAGTACCTAGGTACCTCCTTTGGTCCCGTGCCACTGCCTCCATCACCGTCGCTGGCCCACCAAACGTCACAAGTACCTCCTTGCGCTTCGCCCTCTGAGTTTCTTTCCAGGTGCCTCGCGACAGAAGTACTACCGAGATGACAGTACCTACAGAAAGACGGACGACGGACGGACAAGCAGACAGCAACACACCACTCACTCTTGCCCCCTCGCTCACTTCTTCCCTCCCCCTGTTCACCGAACGCTAGACAGCAGGCAACGTCCTCGTCCCAGCCAGCAGTCTTACACCAACCATCCACGGCACACCAGACCCCGACCATGGCTCCCCCATCCAACTAGCCCCTCCCCGGGGGGCACGAGAAAAACCCTAAATCCACCTTGCCTTTCCGCCCGCCGCGCTCCCTCGCTCCGCTCGCTCATGCTATTCAGCTAGCCAGCATCTCCCCTCCTTCCCCCTCTCCTCTCCGTCTCGACTCGACCTTACTTTCCGCCGGCCCGGGCCGATCTACGCGCAACACAGGAATCTGCCTCCGCGCCTGCGCGGCGCGGCGGGACGAACGCCCAGGGCAGGGTACCCACGGAAAGTATGCAAGGAAGAGAGAACCAGAGCCAGAGCCAGAGCGAGTAGACAGCGCGCGAGAGAGAACGCCGCGGCGCCGCTGACGCTCTGTGGTGAGTGAGCGTTGTGACGGGAGGGGAGCTTGCCCCGTCAGCCAACCAACCAGCCAGTTCTGGCCTTGATCCCCCGCCGTAGGTGTAACGGCGCGGCGGCCGGTTGATGTAGATTTTTTCTTCCTCAGTGGTGGCTGTGGCGCGCGAGGCGCGAGGCAGAGGGCGAGGCCACAAGGCCCTTCGTATGCAACGGTGGCGGATTGGGCTGCCCTGCGCGGTAGCTGCGGCTAAGTTGGTCGCAGTGGCGGATACGTTTCGACAAGCACACGCTTTAGAGGTGGGTTTGCTCTGCGCTGTTTATAGGAACGTAAACATACCATTCTTTTTCTGGCCAGTCTTCTTGTCAGCAAGATAGACTCTTAGCCTCGGAATTCCTAATCCGTCCGCGCCCTGCGCCCGATTGATTCATTGCTCGATTAGCTCCCCGTATGTTCGCGTACGAGTACGAGATTTGCGACGTTGGAACTTGTGAGCAGGACGATGACGTTGAGGACGTGAGTGATTGGTGATGTCTATCTAAGCCATGAGGTGGCTTTGACGATGGTTGCTGCAAAATTTTTGGTGTTGAGCGCTGTTGAGGCGGATTGGGGACAGCGCGAGACTTCAACGGGCGCTCCCGGCTTTGCGCATCGTGCATTTCTTGGTAGGGTATCTGGCATCTTTGGCAGA